TCCCTGAAGTCCACCTCATCGGAGTGACCACACTCGGACCCACAGACAGGTCTGTTTACTTACTGTACACATCTTTTATTTAAAGTGTGTTATACAAAAAAGTATTAATATGTTGATTGAAACATAAATAATAATAAAAAATACATCTAAGGTAAATATAAGACTTTAAAATTAGCCAATTAAAAAATTCATTACAGTATGATCTTCAGGGAGAATTAGTACCTTTATTCAAAGAGTAATGGGATACCTTTTTGTACCCTATTCTTATTTTATTTATTTGTATTACATGAATTATTATATAATTAATGTTTGTGACAGATTTATTTTTTTCCATTTTTCTTTTTCAGTGTCTCTGCATTGCAGCAGCCTGAAAGTTCTCGTTTGACAAGCAATAATGAGGTACTAACTTAATCTATTTAAGAAATTATAAAATGTATATATTACTAGGTTCTGTAAAAAATTCAGCTTTCTGGCTCCCCCTGTTGTTTAAAACTCTTTTGCACACAAAAGCATCACTGTCCTCATGGTGAGCACAACGGCTCCCCCTACAACATCTCGCCATACATGACACAAGAAAGTGTACTTAACTACAGTAGCCAACATTTGAAGTGGATCAAAACCTTTCAACAAAATTATCCATGAATTTGTCTTAGGATAACTTTGATTAACTTTTTTGATCCACTTCAAATGTTGACTACTGTAGGTCATTGTGAAAGTTCAACATGAGTCTTTCAAAAACAGGTATTTACAATAAATAAGCCACTTTACTGCATTGGACACATTTTATGAATGATGCCGATTACGAAGCATCTAATTTGTTTTCATGTAGAATAATCACTTTTAAAATCAATCGTCAATTGTCAAAACGTTCAACATCTTAACCAAGACCTTTAAACTTTTCCTTGTAATATTTTAGGATCAAGCCAGTAAAAATGGAGGCTCTCCATCTGTCTCCCCGACTCAGCCCAGCTCAGGGGGGAGTGAGAGTTTTGGCTCTAAAAAAACACGTTCCTCTTTTGGACGTGGCTTTTTCAAGAGCAGAGGAAGCAAGACAACCAGCACCCCCAATCTGGGTGAGTATAAAGTGTTATATAAAGTTTTACTTGAATGATTGAAATAATATAGCAATTTTTTTCACATTACAGTAAACTTGTGCACCTTTCTTGGCACTGTTTTTGTAATATTAACCCTATTCATGAATTATTGGCAGTTGAAGGAGAGCGCAAGGGGACGGAGCACTTGGATTTGGCGGGAGCACAAACTCAGAAGCCGAAAGCATTAGAGACACTCTCTCCTGAAGGGAAGAAGAAATCAAAGGGGATCATGAAGTTTCTCGGAAGGTCTTTTTTTTAATGTCTTTGTTAATATCCTAACGATAAGCTGCACTGGTTATGAAGATATTAACTCTTATGTACATGCTTAATCCCTGCATCAGGATGAAGAGAAGCCAGTCCACATCCTCTGACCTGGACGATTCTCCAGAGTCAGAGTTTAGGAGAGGTGGAGTCCGAGCTACAGCGGGACCCAGGCTGGGGTGGTCACGTGATCTGCAGCGAAGCAATAACAAGTACATACAGTTTGTTTGTTAAGGAAGTTATTATTGGAGTTTTTTCTTTTGTTCACATGTGTTGTTGACGTCTCTCTCAGCGAGCTGGACAGCCCGTTTTCACGCTGGAGTAAAGAGCAGGTGTGCGAGTGGCTGCAGGAACAGGGACTGGGCTTGTATATAAATCATGCTCAGCAATGGATCAGCTCTGGACAGACCTTACTCAAGGCGTCTCCGCATGATTTGGAAAAGGTCTCCTGAACAGCCCTGCATTTTTAAATTTCAATGTCAATGTTTCTTTATTTATATGTAACTTCAGTTTATTCTGTGTGCTGTATGATATTTGTCTCTGTGCTTCAGGAACTGGCCATCAGAAATCCTCTACACAGAAAGAAACTGCAACTGGCTCTTCATTCGCTGGGCTCAGATGAAGATGCCATGGGTAAACTGGACTACCACTGGGTAACGCGTAAGTTACAACAATCAGTCCTTTGCTTTAACTTAAAAGATTAAGCCTTATGTCTTTGAATGCAGGTAATTACAAATGCTTTTTAGGACTGATAGACCTAGTAGTAGGGATGCACCAATAACATTTTATTACAGAGTGTGAGTACTAACATTATTATTGTAAAAGGATGGCTGGATGACATCGGCCTGCCTCAGTATAAATCTCAGTTTGACGAGGGCAGAGTGGACGGGCGCATGCTTCACTATATGACTGTGGTAGGTGTCAGATATATATGTGTGTGTGTTTATGTTTGAAATCATTTTTTTAAAGAAATATTTTTGATGTTTTTGTAAAAAAAATCTCGTTTATCATTTTAATATGCTGATTTGATGCCTCAAGAAACAGTTTTTCTTCTTTTTCTTATTATTACTAATGTTAAAAACAGTTTTTACTGCTTAACATTTTTGTGGAACCCGCAATTCTAAGGTTCTCAACATTTCTTGAGTTAGGATGACCTGCTGGGTCTGAAAGTAGGCAGTGTGCTTCACCATCTCGGTATTAAGAGGGCCATCCAGGTGCTACGTATCAACTGCTACGACCCTGACTGTCTCCGGCGCAGACCGACAGAGGTAGCACACCCTGACATCATGCTACCATGCACACTTTAGATCCATTCGCTTACAATGACTGACTTATGCTCCATTTATTTCCTTTTGATTAGAATAATGCCACACCAGCGGAAATCTGTCAATGGACCAATCACAGAGTGATGGAGTGGCTTCGTTCAGTGGATCTGGCAGAGTACGCACCCAACCTGAGAGGAAGCGGAGTCCACGGAGGCCTAATGGTACATAGAGTGGGGAAGAAAACACGCAGGAAGTTTCTATTCAAGTTCCTTTTATACTTCTTTTTTTTTTTTTTACTTGCATTTCTCAGGTTTTAGAGCCTCGTTTCAACATTGAGACAATGGCTCTGCTTCTTAACATCCCACCAAACAAAACACTGTTGAGACGTCACCTTGCGACTCACTTCCATCTCCTGATCGGCTCAGAGGCACAAAACCTGAAACAGGAGTATCTCGAAAACCCAGATTACGCTGTCCTCACAGCCACAGCCAAAGTTAAGGCAAGTAACCATAAGCGAGGTTGCCTCTGAACTTCCCTTATATATGGAATACAACACTAAATAACCTGTTTGAATACTTGTGAAGTTTTACCTGTCCTTTCCTCTTTTAGCCAAGACGTCTGTCATTTGGAGGTTTCGGGACATTGAGGAGGAAGCGACAGGAGGAGACGGAAGAGTATGTTTGCCCCATGGATGTGCAGATGCCTCAGAGCAGCAGTTTTCATAAAGGCCTCTGCATATATGAGGGCAGCTTGGATCAGCTGGAGCAGGTATAGGCAATTCCATTGACCAGGATGCAATGCAGATAAAACTGCTAATCATAGTGCAAATTTGTTGAAACTGGCAGCCTTTAATAACTAATCTGGTCATAGCTGTATGTTGTTGCTATTGTTTAAATGATGTTGTGTATCTCTGTGCAGTTGGAGGACTCAGAGGGCACAGTGCGTCAGATCGGTGCCTTCTCGGAGGGAATCAACAACCTGACTGTAAGACAATCACATTAATACTGTATCTGCTGTGTTCTCTCTTGCCTTTACCTCAGTTCCCCCTAACATTCATGTTCTGTGTTCTTCAGAGTATGCTAAAAGAGGATGAATCCTTCAGGGAAGCATCCTCCCGTTCACCTGAAACAAGCACCTATGATGAAGATTAAGAATGTTTCAACATAACAATCATCACTCAAGTCTGTAGCTGTGAAATTTCCCGACAAGCTGAAACCCTCCAGACACTGATTTTACAATGAAAGCAATAAGCTCCACTCACAGTGAAACTCAAAAGAATTACACCACAAATGCAGTACTATATAAGTCTATGGAATGTTATTTATTAATTTAGGATCTGCAGTATATACCGTATACAGTATAAACTCAAACAGTATGTATAAGTGTTTCACCAAGCTAAGACCAAAAACTACATATAAAATCAGCTGTTAGTTCTTAAAAAATCTTGTCTTTTATACTCTAGGCTATTATTATGTGACCATTTGCTGCATGTTTTCACCATTTTTCTATTTGGTTAAATCATTTTATTGGGAGGGAAAAGTTGTTTATTTTGCCTGCAAACTCTTGATATTGTTATGCTATAACCATATCAGTGAATATCATGTACTATGTACTGTTTTATGCATGTGTGTGTTTTTGTGTGAGTGTCAAAGATTAAAACTATTTTTTTTTCCAAATCCAATCTTTGTTTTTTAGATGATGCAAGTTAGTTTGTCTTAAGTTCACTCAAATGGAAGAATATTATCAATGAATCTCTGGATCTGCTCACCATCCTGCCATTTGCACTGCTAATGTGCCAAAAACATTTGCAGTGCAAATCTGAGAATCTAAAAAAAAAACAAGCTTGTGCCATAAAAGTCTTGTTTCAAATCCCCCAGTCACTAAAGTTTCCATGTGGAAGGCAGAAAACTTCCAAAAGCAAAACAAGTTTCAGGTTTAGACTTAGTGGCTTAAGTGTTTTACATGTGGGGTCTTTTTTGAACTGGTCTGGCATATGTGGGGCAGAACAGACAAATATGTGAAATGCTGTACCTTTCACCAGGATGTAAGGGAGACATCCATCAATACATTGTTAAAACTGCTTTCCCAATTTAGGGTCACAGCGATGCAGACCTGAAAAAAAGGGATGTTTACATTAAATCAGTGTCATTATATCAAACAAAGTGCCTAAAACAGCATCTTTAAATGTGAAAGGCGGAGTGGCTCAGTGGTTAAACACGTTCTCTGGTAATAACGCGGAGATAGAGGCATGGGTTCAAACCCCACTATTGTTTACATTAATGTCATTATAAACTGCCAAGTGCCCGAAACCCCAGCCTAAACACACGCTCTCTGGTGATGTGGCTGTGAGGGTTCAAACCCCAGTTCAGCTTTTAAATCACAGGTGAAAAGTTAAATATAAGTTCCAGCACATGCATCAGCAAGAGATCTGTGGCTCACAGGTAAGAGCGCTGCCTCATGGTTTCAGAGGTTGCTGGTTCAATCCCAGCCAGATCTCCGCAATACGAGTGAATGCTGTATGTGTGAAGGGGATGGGGACGCGTCGGGTCCCCCCCCCGAACCCCGCCACGATGTCCAGCAGGGGTTATGCTTCTTGATACAATCAAAAAGAAAAATTTAGCAGACTCAAAATTTTGCACCGCTGTCCCTTCCCCACCTATTTAGGTTCCCATCATTTGCTTTTTAAAGGGGTGACCCCCCCCAAAAAGAAAATGATGGTAACCTACATGTTTAGTGCCAAACAACAACATTCACACGTTACAAGTCTTACCCGTCCATCAGCAGAAGTCCATCATTACAGTCAATGTCTGTCCACACGTCCCACAGCTCTGCTTCTGATGACTGGACACTCCAAACACATCCCGTATTCTGTAGAGGAAACATAAAAACAGTTATTACATCATTTGGTATATCTAAGTTTTAAATAACAGAATTGTAATGTTAGTCTAAATTATAGTTGATAAATATAAGATGACATGTATGTTAACACTGCCTAATAGACATATTTAAATATTTTGCACACAGCAACAGACAGCAGGAACATCAAAGATCTATTTTATAATATGAACATCAGCGGGTGAATATTTGAACACTTATAAAGTTGAAGCACCAATTAATGTCGTCTTCTAAAGCTGTCAGTGAGTTCGTACATGCATGTAAGCATGTAAACAAAGTCTGTGATAAACTTCATAGAAGATGCGACGGCTTTCATTCATGACTAACTGTCATTTAGCGAGCAGCCTTTTAAAACACGATTTTAGGTAAAAGACAATATCGGGATTATCTGGAAATCTGGCTTTTAGTGTTCGCGTGGAAAAGCATAAATAACAACACATTGAATTTGTCATAACATGAATAAACGCACAGAGGCCTGGAATAACATCTCACAAGACAGAATGACGAATGCTTAATTACTTAACTAAAACTAAATAACAAGTGAACAAAGAATAACGACTTAATAAGGATAATGTAAGAGACATGCAGTGCACTGTGTGTAACGTTAGTTAAGTTACTTACCGGTGAGTCGCGTGCCACTCGATTCCTGCAGCTTTATCGCAGCGTGTGTCGGTTTTATTTGTTGATGTGCTGGAATATGTGCTGTTTAGTGGCATTAAAACACTGTCACAGAGCTGTCATCCTCAGGATATGTATTTAAAACGGTCTACTACTCAATGTGTTGTTGCAACAAAACAAACGTCATGTCGTCAAACATCCGGAGGTGTCAGACTGAACGTGAAGCCGCTTGCGCCGCCTAGTGGAGCGGTGGAGAACTGCGCTTCAGTTTCTGCCACACAAATCGTGTTAGAATTATAATGCCAGCAGTTTCAAAGTTGTTTCGAATTTGGTCAATGGCTACATAAAAAAAAAAAAAAAGTCATTCATACTTTAACATATTCATACTCAAGAAAAAGTACCCATTTGTTGTGTTAAATGTGTATAAGGTAAATTACCAAAAGCTCCCTCTTGTGGCCAACAAGTGTATCAACATTAATAAATTAAACGAGTCGACGAACAAGGCGGCCAGTCGAAGGTGTGGTTGAGATTTAATTGAATGTATTTTACAACAAATGTATCGGTTTGTCAAGGCTTCGACCAGCAGATAAACACGGGTCTGTGAGTTTCAGCAGATTAACCAGATCCGTCTCCTGTTAAATTTTGTAACTGGTTATCACAGCAGGAGATCAGATGATTCACCGGCTCCTCCTTGAGGAGAATCTGGGACTGAGCGGTTCTCAATGCACGTCCTGCTCTGAGTCTCTATCTGAAGCTCTGGCTTATTATATATGGATGGAGGAGGGCGACAGTGAGCAGGGGAATATATATGTTAGGGGGTTGTAAAGTCAGCCTAACTGATCTACAAAGATATAGAAAGACAAATGTCACTTTTTTTAAACACAGGTTAAACTGTGGCTGGGGATTGATCACTCTTCATCCATTTATTGGTTATTTGATTAAATAAATATACTTGATTAAAGCCTGTATCAAAATAACAGTTGATATGCACTATATGTAAACTACAAACTAATCACTGCTATAACAACTAAAACTTGTAATTTTTATTTCCTGATTAAAATAAAAGGGACAGGAGTGAGCTCTGATCAGTGTGTCAGCTGCTCCCCCTTGTGGACAATAATAAGTGTTTCTGCATTTACATTTAAAAATAGCAGTAGATGCAAAGGGACTAAAATTGTCTAATCCTGCTCCCGATGAGCCACTTTCCTGAGTTTAGCTCCAACCTGATCAAAAACACCTGAAGCAGTTCATCAACGTCTTCAGGGTTACTAGAAACTTCCAGGCAGGTGTGATGGACTTTCTAAATTAAATAACAAATGTTTTTAAATAAGCAAATAAGGTTATTTACATGTTATGTGTTTATCAGTTTGAGTTTGAAGAATTAATAAAGTTCTCAGTGACAATTATGATTGTAGATTTGTTTCAATATTTCAGTTTCATGTATTTAATTGCATGACTGATCTCTGACTTTGTGGTTTGTTGATAAATTGAACATTTTCCTCCACTTTTTACCACACCAGTTTATTTCGATACAATTTCCACTAATGAAATTTTAGATAGAATTCATTTGATATATCTGCAGCACCTAGTTTAGAATATTTTTAGTTCTTGAAATCACAGAAGGTAGTTTTAACAAAGCAAATCTGTTTCCATGAGAAAGACAGAAAAATGTGATGTCATTTAAACATGAATTTAAGTTAAACTGAACGTCTAAGAGACAGAAAACATTATCACACTATTACAAACTTTGTGGATAATCGTTCATCCATTAAAGCCTTGATTCAAATCCCCCTATTGCTTGTGTTGAATTGTTAATTGATGCTGCAGTGAAACTAAACATTACAAGGCCTGTGGCTCAGTGGTTGATGCTCGTCTATCTTTCATGAAAGTCTGGGTGCAAACCCCATAAAAGTTAGTGTTTTTCATTATTTAAAAAAAGATCTCAAGAAAACTGTCCAAAAAAAGACAATTTAAATCACATTGCTCAGTGGCTCAGGAGACAAAACGCTGTGTTTTAATCTTGGAGACCTGGGTTCAAATCCCATGTTAAATTGTTATACATGCTTTTGCTCTTTGTCTAAACACCAGTGCCAAAACCACACAAACTCTGTAGCTCAATGAATGATTGACTATCATTCATGAAAGTCCAGGTTCTAATCCAGTTAATATGGCATCTAAAACGGCCATTCTAATGTGAAAGCCACAGTGGTGCAGTGGTTAAACACATGTTCTCTGCTGGTGAAGCTGAGATAGAGGCATGGGTTCAAACACCACGATTGTTTACATTAAATTATTGTCATTATAACCAACAAAGTGCCCGAAACGCCAGCCTTGAGTGTGAAAGCCACAGTTGTGCAGTGGTTAAACACAGTCCTCTGGTGATAGAGGCAAGGGTTCAAACCCCAGCTGGGGGTTCGAGTCTCTGTCAAAGCTTTAACTGGTTTATTGGAAAATTGTCCAGGTGAATAGTGAAAATATAAGTTCCAGCACATGTCTCAGCAAGAGATCTGTGGCTCACAGGTAAGAGCGCTGCCTCATGGTTTCAGAGGTTGCTGGTTCAATCCCAGCCAGATCTCCGCGATACGAGTGAATGCTGTATGTGTGAAGGGGATGGGGACGTGTCGGGTCCCCCCCCGAACCCCGCCACAATGTCCAGCAGGGGTTATGCTTCTTGATACAATCAAAAAGAAAAATTTAGCAGACTCAAAATTTGGGCCCGCCATCCCTTCCCCACCTATTTAGGTTCCCATCATTTGCTTTTTAAAGGGGTGACCCTCCAAAAAGAAATTGATGGTTACCTACATGTTTAGTGCCACACAACAACATTCACACGTTACAAGTCTTACCCGTCCATCAGCAGAAGTCCATCATTACAGTCAATGTCTGTCCACACGTCCCACAGCTCTGCTTCTGATGACTGGACACTCCAAACACATCCCGTATTCTGTAGAGGAAACATAAACACAGTTATTACTTCATATAATACATGTACAGTTTCAATAATATACATTATATAAATGTATATAATTTAGATGCAAAACAATTATACAAATACATTTTTAATAATGAAATAAAATTTTAAAAGTCTAAAAACAAATATTATAAATAATTAAATTCTGATGATAAAAGTGTCTAGAAAACACACAAATATGTTATATATATATATAAATAAATATTAATGATTAAAATCTGAGAAAGAAATGAATAATGACACATTACTGACACAATGATATAGACCAAACTGGTGGTTCATTAAAAATACAATCTACAATGTTATTAATTCAAGTAATTCTTTGCAAAACAACAAACAAACATTACACAGCCTGAAGTGATGCAAAATCCTGATGGGTGTAATGTTCACTACAATGTTCAGCAAATACAGCAGAGAATATTATACTTCAGTAATACTGTATCAGTAATAATCTTTTTTGGTTCAATCTACTGTTTTTCTGTAAACTTTCTCTGTTTCAGCCTCTAGTCAATTTGCTGCAGGATATTAAAATAAAATAAAACAAAACAAAACAAAACAAAAAACAAATATATTTTGGTCCAGTGTTGAATTGTAAAGATTTGTCCATTAAAAGCTAAAATTAGATTTTTCCTTCACAATAAACAACTCTAATCCTAAAAAGACAGGTTTCCTGCACATGGTTTTCATTATAAACAAAAAGCACTGCAGCTCTACAAAATTATTGATTAATTTGTTCTTCTAAAGTTATGTCAGCGAGTTCAGCAAGAATGTAAAGCATTTAAACAAAGTATGTGATAAACCGACATAGTAATGTGACTGCCTGCCTTCATACATGCTTAGCCATCAAACAACACTTTTGGCAAAAGATCCCATACACTAGTTACCCATGCCATGTGATGTTTACAAGTTAACAAGAGAAATGCACTGTATAAGACGTTTACTTACAGATGAGTCTCGTGAAACCCGATTCCTGCACTTTATCGCAGCGTGTGTCGGTTTCGTTTGTTTATGTGCTGTTGAGTAACATTAAGAGTCTGTCACTGAGCTGTCATCTGCAGAATCTGTACTTAAAACAGTCCGCACGTGTTGTAGCAAGCGTCATGTTGTCAAGCATCTGAAGGTGTGTCAGCCAGACTCAGACTAAACGTGAAGCCGCGTACGCCACCTACTGTAGCGGAGGAAAAACTTCAGTTTCTTCGTAGTACCTTTGGTAGTACCCAGAGCCATATAGAGTAGAACTTCACTTGCGTTAGCATTTCCATTGACTCCCATTCATTTTGGCGTCACTTTGACAGCAAATAACTTTACATCTGAGGCGTTTAAAGACTCCATTTGTCCATTATTTATTTCTAAAGAAACACGACAATGTATAAAGGGCTCCATTACCTTCTATGTTACATTATGGCCCCGTAGAAACAGTTTTAGTAAAAATAGGCTAACGATTGCGTCATAACCACTCGACTCTCTGTCGCGCTGTACAGAAATTACCGTACAGACAGGAGGAGAAGCTCGCAGGCAATCGGGGGGACGTCCCGTCAAGGGAGAAGCCCATAGATAATGAGTCCATAAAAGCAACGGAATACTTACTCCTGCTCACTCACGCCAAAGAACTCTTTGCTCTATTTCCCCGTCTCTGCAAGATTAACGTTGGCAATTTTCACGCACAGCTACTAGAAGATTAACGTCTGTCAGACAGGTTGCTCACGTCATCAAGCTTAGTTTGAGTCGGTTTGAGTCTGCGCGTCAGGAACGGAAGTGCTCAAAAATCGCTAAAAATGGGCTTCAACTGTCTCAACTGAGTTCCAATGAGATGGCTCTGTCCACTTCTTATACTGTCTATGATAAAAATCCAATGGGCTATATGCACGCATAACTTCCGCGTTTGACACAAGGATGCTCGTGCGTTTCCGGTTGGGGAGATTTAAAGCGGAGGAAAACCATAGACAGTAAAAGAAATGGACAGAGCGATCTCATTGGAACTCAGTTGAGACAGTTGAAGCCCACTTTTAGCGATTTTTGAGAACTTCCGTTCCTGACGCGCAGACTCAAACCGACTCAAACTAAGCTTGATGACGTGAGCAACCTGTCTGACAGACGTTAATCTTCTAGTAGCTGTGCGTGAAAACTGCCAACGTTAATCTTGCAGAGACGGGGAACTTGAGCAAAGAGTTCTTTGGCGTGAGTGAGCAGGAGTAAGTATTCCGTTGCTTTTATGGACTCATTATCTATGGGCTTCTCCCTTGACGGGACGTCCCCCCGATTGCCTGCGAGCTTCTCCTCCTGTCTGTACGGTAACTTCTGTACAGCGTGACAGAGAGTCGAGTGGTTATGACGCAATCGTTAGCCTATTTTTACTAA